TTCTATTCGCTTAAAGACAAAAATAGAAATTCGACGAGGATACCGAGGAAAGGGACCAAGGACAAAGTCTGCGTTCTATTGTTTTTATGTGATTATGATTATTGCATGTTTAACTAGGAAAAGTGATCGGAGTACTAATTTATTTTAATTTAATTATCTAACTTGGTTGAAATGCATACTCGCTTAACAGATACTCGCAATTTCACATAACATAAAATTTAGCTCAAAAATTAATTTTGTTGTAACCCTCTATATGCATACTTTACATTTTTATTATTGTCTTATGTGTTGTTTTGAAGGGCTTCTCACTATTTTGCATAATAATAGACATACTGTGAGAAACGAACAGTTAAGTCTGAGGCTACGATAGTTCATATTCATTTTACGAATCTCAAACTCTCTATATTCTTGTTTTCAAGGTTAGTGTTTACCAAATCCATTGTGTCTCCACTTTTGTTTGTATCCTATGGATTTTGCTTTTCATTCTTTCCTTTGTAAGGCACTTTTGTGATCCTCTTCTGCCTGTTTCTCCTCCGTAGCTTTCCTCACTCACGTAGTAATCGTATTACTTCACAATTATATAAAAATAACGCAAATAAATTTCAGCAGTGTCTGCTACCCCACTTATGTAACCTCACATTGTGATACTCCCATTTAGAATTGCATCTGAGTGCTGGTAGAATTTAAACGACAAAACTTGCAATCCAAGTCCCTATTTTAGTTAGCCATCGATAGGTCACGTTTTTACGTTATAAACTACAAGCGATTATCAAGTCTGAGGCCTATGGCAATCATAATTTTTGAAATCGACTTAAATGTCTATACAACTTTATTTAGTGAGAGGATTCATTGACCATACAAAAGATCGCATTACTCTCTATTTTTAATCTGTGCTAAAATACTTTATGATTAGGCCTATAAAAATATCTGTCATCTTTGGTTTAAGGAATTTCCATTTTGCTATTCGAATTTGGCTCCCGCATTTCTATCGTCTCTTGTCCCCACTTTATATGCTTATGCCTAATTATCTGCCTTTTTTATTGCAAGAGGTGTTTTATAGATAAGCTAGACCTCTGGAGAAATTTTATTAAAATCGTTGAATTTATTTTTTCCATTCTTTTGGCTAGGCGTGGAGTCGCTGAAACTTACTTAACATTTTACCAAAACTATTTGTACTCATGCAATCAGCAGACAACAGAGTATAAAGCTCAATCTTGTGGGGACCCCAATTTCGTATGAAAGTGCAGGATGAAGAGATTCGTAGGTCGATCTACTCAGAAGACAAAGGCTGATTTTCGTCATACCGCAGCCGTTCGGTTTTAGTGAGACATTCAGGTTGACGCACTCCACGAGACATCTCTCTCGTTTCAGGTGAAAATGGGCTGAGCTCTCAATCGTCATATGACGAACATCACATGCGGTGACTTCTTACATCAACATAGTCTTTTTGATTTAGTGTCAATGTAGGACTTGTAAGAATGACTCTCAGCTCTGATCATGTTCGCATTCTGGTGAGGTTGACCTACGAATATCTTCATGCAATTTCATACTAAATGAAAGTCTCCATAACAATGCTATCTCAGGAAATTCTTCGTATGCATATTTGGAAAAAATTGGGCATTATTACCTACGAAATTATATTTTGCAGAAATCTTCATAAAATTTCGCCTAATGATTCTGCTCCATGTTATTTGGTTATCCATAGATTTTCTTATTCATGCTAGATTAGGCTTTTAATGATGAACTGTGTAGCTGGAGTAACAGTTGTATAGTTAAAAAGTCCATACTTTGAACATCCTGAAAAAGCATCAATTAATGACAATTGAACTTGAGCAATTACAGTACTGTGACTGTGCTTTAAAGTTTGTCACATGTATTGAGTACTATATATAACTTCCGATTCAAGACCACTTCGAACCTGCTCGTCTCTTCACTCGGCAGCCTCTGACTCTCCTGTTACAGGAACCCATGTCCCTGCTGACGTAATGATCTGGAGAAGCCTAGCACCTTGTGTCGTGATTGGCCGGCACCAGTGCGTCTGGCAGGAGACGAATCCTCAGGAGCTAGCTCATCGTGGTTGGTCGCTGGCACGACGAGCCTCGGGAGGTGGTGCTGTCTTCCACGATGCTGGCAACATAAACGTCACCTTTATGGAAGCCCGGCGCAGCCTTGATCGGACTGCCTGCAATCGCTTCTTGGCTGACTTGCTCACCAGTAGATGGCCGTACTTGGACGTGCGTGTTGGTTCCCGATACGATATGTGGCTTGCACGATCGAAAGAGTCGGACCATTCTGATGTAAATTAGTGAGCTGGCTTGCATTTATCAATAGTTTGTATTTATATCTCTAAAATATTTATTTCTCTGCGTCCTTTTTCTTTTGTTGTGTTTGGAAAATGTGAGTAGCTAAATTCTGACACGAAGCCCTAATATGGGTATGTTTAGCTGTTTGTGACGCACTTCTCAGACTTACCTATTCAGCCAGGTGAGGATTCAGTATGCATTCCAGCGTCGTTCACTCAAGAGTAAACAAAAGAAGGCTTTAATCGAAGATATGAAGACCAAGATAGTGTGGCTTTCTCACACCCTTACCCCAAAATCCTCTTCCCATACTTCTTATCATAGTCTCCTTGCCATGTAGAATCCGCCTCCTACCTTCCTGGTTCAGGTATTTCACTCGACCTCTGCCACCCTAAATGTACTACTCGAAGCGTTATTTCCCACACTGTTTTAAGCCTTTGCTGGCACGCATACTCACGCCTCGCTGATTAGGCCCCTAAAAATCAGTATTCTTAAGCTGGATGGGAGACTAACTTGAGGCTAAAGAGCCCGAGTAATTCTCATTGTCAAGTCTTTGCCTCATTGACCACGTCTTTGGTCAAACAGGTCTACTGCTAGGCAACTGGCTCTAGTCTCCGTCTCATCTATCGTTCTTCTATCCATAGTGCCAAGTCTATTAATTCCTATGCTATAGTCTCTTTTGTGCCAACCCACAAATATTGGGGTTCTGCTTGTTTTGATTAGGTTCAATGTAGAACCACAAAATTTGTGGGTTGGCACACAAGAGACTAAGACCTAAGAAGTCATAGATTTGGTCCATGAAGCATCTCTATTGCTAGCCAACTAGCTTTAGTCTCCACCGCATCTATCCTGTTTCTATTCGTAATACCAAGTCTATGTCTTCCTATGCCATAGTCTCTTGTGTACCAACCCACAAATGTTGTAGTTCTACATTTAGCATAATCAAAACAAGTAGAACCACAACATTTGTGGGTTGGCACACAAGAGACTAGGGTATATGAATGCTCGACATTAGCGCAGCTGAGCTTATTAGCTTTCCTAGCATAATTGTAGAAAGAGTAGCATCTTTACAGTACAAAAGTCGAGGTTTTACTAGTTGGATCACCTTTTATCAGGGGGTTCAACTTCCTCTCTTCTTAAGTCAATCAATCAATCATAAGTTATTCCTCTGGTCTGTTTACTTTAATGACTAATTTAATTTTGATTTTAGCAACAGATATATCATAATCCGCAACCCGAATAATCCTAGATCATCTATCATGCACACTTACCTCTCAAGGCTTGTCAAAAGGTCATAATTTTTAAAGCGGTTGGAATGCTACTTAATCTGCATTCAATCTAAACTAAGATGCAGTTTGAAGTAGCCCTAATTATAGCAACCAGATGTATCAGGAGTTAGTATCAATTGATTTCATCCTCTACCTATGGAACAAAAACCTAGTTATCATGCTGCTCTTAACTAAAAATGGGAAAATAAACTGGCTAGATCTGTTTTGGTCACATTCTCCTTTCGATGTATGGAAGTGGTCTGATCTTGTTTTTGCAGCTTGGTCGTGTTCTCAGAACGACCTAGTTGGACGCACCTTGACCGAAGTCCACTACTAGAGTTATGATACTTTTCAACGTTAGATCATCGAATCAGTACATTATCAGAATTTTCGCCGGCCTCTTAGCCGGCATGGTCAGTGACGATACGGGGATACGGGATAGGTGAATGTACAAGGACAGAATGAGTAATACCACAACTGTTCAGCATGCGTGACTGACCAATTATAGCTTAGTACTAAGAATGGCAAGACTAACTGAAGATGCTGACTATGCTTCCGGGGCAACGACCCAGCGCTGAAAATTATCATAACTACTATAGCAGATGACGTTGGAAAAGGTGCTCTCAACTAGGCGATCCTAACAACATGACTAAGATGCAAAAGCGAGGTCAGATCACTTCTATAAACTATTTATATTTTTGTTCCTGAAAGGGTGGACGAGACCTCATTCTTATTTATTAAAATAAATCTGGTAATGATCTGCCTAGATAGCTAACTTAGTAGCTAACACTATTTCATTGGTTCCTTTTAATACTATTATATAGGGGCTACCTGGGTATTATGCTTTTGAATTACATAAGACTAATATAATTAAAAATCCTCTGAGTTCCTTATTGAAAACTCCCTTTTCACCTTGGGATGCATCCTGACTGGGTACAACACCTCGGACCAAATACACACTACATTTCTCCATTCTTCCTACCAAATTGGCAGAATCTGACCTGCAAATTCAATCATCTCTTCTACCTGGGTCTATTTGGGTTCACTTTTTCCTTTATCAGAGTAAAATCATCTAATTGACTGACTCATTAATTGCTTGCAACTTATCCACCTATGTGGCCTTTGAGTACATTCCAGCTATCCTGCTAATAAACACATTACTTTTCTAAAAATCTGTTCTAATCCAGGTCGGACGAAAGTTTCGACCTCGCCTAGGTCTTATCAACACCCCCAGCGTGGCTAAAACCATGAGAGTACAGCTTATAATCTTGACATGGTATCAACTAAGCCACATTGTCATGAATGCCCTTGGATAACAGGTCATCTACTTGCAAATGAAGCATAAGTAATGCAGTCAACGTTGCTTCATCGACAATCCCACCACAGAATGCGATGTGGGAAAAGGCCTGGCCTTCATTGAAATTCACCTAAGGACACTATTGGCAATGCGACATAATGGTCAACGTGTCGAGATTATACGCTACACGGCCATGGTTCGAGTCCAGCTGAGGCTATTGATAAGACCTAGGCGAGGTTAAAACTGCCGCCTATCCCGGATAAGAAAAACCTTTATGGAAAGCAAGGCTGTGTGCAATTTAATGGAAATGTAAGGTCTACTCACATCATTGTGGGAAAAATTCAACTATCAGTCTCCTTATCACCTCAAACGAAGTGGGAGGAATGTACTCCATATATAAATCATGTACTGATCGTCTCGCATACCAACTTATAAAACGAAGCATCCGTAGAAGTTGTTTGACCTTGTTTTCGCAACTTGGTCATATTGGTAGAAAGACTTATAGGAAGGCACCTTGTC